CCTTCCCTTCCCTTCCCTTCCCTTCCCTTCCCTTCCCTTCCCTTCCCAGAGGAGAGAAAAAAAGAAAAAAATCCATCTTCTTTTAGGAGGGTGGAGTCAGCAAACACAGACATCTGAAAACATAATGGTGATGTAGCTGATGTAGCTGGAAAGTGCTGACAAGTCAGCAGCTATAGTGAAAGAATGAAATATCAGGACTCCCATCTCTGGTCTCCTACCAAATGATATCACAAACTATTGGCAACTCACTATTCAATTCCTTTCCCACACATCTCCAACACCAAGTTAGCTGTAACAATCTCAGAATTTTAAAGTCTCTCTCCTGCCCGCAAATTTGCTGATGTAAAAGTGGGAGGCATTATTCATGAAAGTAGTAGCCTTAGTCTTTTCCATGATTTCTGTTGGGAATATCTTCCAAGTCCAGTTGTAGGCACACTTACATTTTCAGGATCTGGGGATTTCTTTCTTACTTTCACTGTAGGTTTGTAGAAACAGTAATAAAACCATAAATTAAAATTGCTGCTGTTTGTCTGTTTGCTTGCTTGCTTGCTTGCTCATTTTTTTCTTTTAGAGGACCTCCCTGTTTTTATTCTTACCCCACAAAAGCATCATTGGCAGCAATAACTTATTAGTACCCAAAAAAGTCAGTTAACACTAATTTGCATGCACCTATGCATTATATATAAATATGTATAACACATAAAGAAGAAATCCTCTAATGTGAACAATAAGCCAGGAAGATAAAAGTGTGAAAACTTACTATGTGAGACTTTTTCAATGATTTGTATGTGGTATTTCATGAAGTTGTAATACAAAACCATATCTGCCTAGTTACAAATTCAACCATAAGAAGGAAATGGGAAGGCATATGCTCACATCTGATATAAGAGCTCTAAGCCCCCAGGGCATTTTCTTTGAAACTTGTAAAATCCAAAACTAATAAACACTTTTTTTTTGGTATATTTGTCTTTATTGCCTGCTAACAAGATTTTTCCTTTATTAGGGAGAGATTTAAATTTGATGTACCTGCCTGACAATCGGAGAAATAACAAAGAATAAGAGATTCTTAGGGGATTTCATTCACAAACACTTTCCAATCTCCTTTGTTTTCTTGCTCTGTCAAGATTTAAATAGAGCAGTGCTACTCTAAGCGTTTAAAAATAATAATAAAAACTCCCCAATGTGTAACTGCACCCACAAGACATTGTTTTCTCCTCCATTGTTCTTCAGCCCTCATGCTGAGTTTGGGTGACAGTTATGGAAAAACTGCAACAATAGATGCTGTCTCCACCAATTCAGYCTCTGTTTTTTACTAGTAGCAAAAAGGCTAATGTTCATTTTCCTTATTATAGTTGATGGATCGTTCTGCCAAAGTGACTGTTTTGAAGATCAGAGAATGTAAGAATGATTTTGTGATTATTATTCTAGTAAGATCCTCATTATCTGTTAAAGAGCTTTTGTTCCAGATGTAGACTATACCTCCTGCAGCGATTACTGTATCCAGCAGTTGTATTGACATTGCCTTTGTTATTGCCTTTGGTAGAGATGATTAGGGGGATTTCAATATCTGTAAAGCAACTAGTACAAATTTTAGGATACAGTATAATTGCAATCTCTCCAGGGGAGTAATCTGTGTGAKAAGGGTATATGAGCTCACAGCAGTCAGCCAACACTAGCATTAATTTACTTTTATCTGTTCATGAGCCGGACACCTCTSGCATGAAGCATGTGCATTTTTTATATTACTGGTTCTCAGAGTTATTCCAGCCTTCCAAAACTAATTTTGCACTTTGATAAATGTGGTGTCCTGTCTAGTGCTCAAACACTGAGCTGTTGTTAAAATGACAGAACTGAGCTGAGTGCAGACAAAAGACCAAAAGAATTAATGCATCCTAGATGCAGTTAACATAATCCCAAGCTGTAGACAAATTAGGTCAACAGTCCTTGGGCTTTAGTTAAAAAACAACTACATGACTACATTTTTCAGCCTGGAAATAAAACCCTGTTTGAGTTTAGTACTGCTAGCTTCAGTCTTTGTCAATAGGAGCGTGGTGTTGTAATCCTGTATTTCAAAACAATCAAGCCGACTTCATAAATCTTGCTGAAATTTGCAATGTGCTAAGTGTGAAGAAACACACATCCACTTCTCACAAGTCCAAAATACCATATGTAATATTCCTGAAAGGAAAACAAACAAACAAACAAACAAAAACAGGCAATGCCTTGTTATTTTCAGACATTTTGTTCATTCAGCTTATTAAAGGGCGGTTTTCATTTGCAAAGTGTTCAGAAACAATCTGACTTTCAAAAACTGTATGTCAAGAGTTATCAGGGTGCATATCCATTTTTTACAGAGGGGATAGTGAATCTTATGGAGATTTAGCAGCCTGTCCAAGAAACCAAACCTCTTCTCCTATACACAGGGAGTATTTGTGGGCACAATTCTGCAACAGCCCAGAGTGGGACACATGCGTTTCCACAAAGCCTCCTTTCCCACAGTATCCTTCCCCTCAGCTTATATGCAGCTCTCCCTAGCTTTTATGGAGGCCTGTTTTTCAGGAGCTTTTAGTTCCTGCCCATGCAGTTCAGCTTCTCCCTTTCCATAATATGTGTGAACAGCCTTGGGAGCTAGGGAAGGAGGGGATCCCCTGAACTACTCTTCATTTGGAAAACATCTCAATTTGCTTTGCAAAGTGCTAACAAAAGACAATGCAGAAACCCTTCAGAGGAGGAAATCCTGCACCTTTTCTCACTTGAAATTTCACAAGGGAAGTGAGGTGGGTTGCCAAAAAGGAACCTGTGGGTTATCAGCAGCCCTAGGGAAGGCAGGAGACTCTTGTGCCCAAAGCCAGGGCCGGGCCGTGCTGCATCTGCGCTGCGCTGAGCTGGCAGCGCACGCCATCTACTGAGGCACCACCGTGGTGCCGCAAACACTCCGGAAAGAAACCTGTTAAGGCATTTTCACACATGAATGCATTCACAATGGCAGGAGAGAACTAGCAGAAGTAAAAGGACTCTAGTTTATACCCTGAATTCCTAATAAGAGGCTTCCCGCCTGTGCCTGTCCCACCACCCCGAGGGAGCAGGCACCACGGCAGCCTGGACATCGTGAGGGTTTGCGCTCCTCAGTTTGCCACTGAGCCTCTCTGGCAGCGTTCTTAAGAAGAATCTTTTCTCTCAGGCAATGACTCAAAGCTGGTTTGAGGGAAAGCTTCCTATGTGACAGAGCATT